AGTAAAACAATAAAACATTTAAGAAAGGAAAAATAAACATTATAAAAGGCAGTATCTAAGGCCCACTCTTAAAAGCTGTAGATAGAACACAACATAGTTCTATTGATAAAGGTACAATCTGCTCAAATGTATGATTATTGATCTTTTTGCTTAATAAAACTTACAAGTTTGACTGCCCTTGATAGTAAGTAAAAATGAAAAACATTATTTTATTTAGCATAGAAAATCTCCACTGTTTTTGAGTCACTGGAAGCCTACATTAGGGACTATTTATGTAGAAAACAATGTGGCATAGCTATCAACATATTTGAGTTATTCTATATTTTAACTAAAGACTTTCAGATTAAATAAAAAGGACACTCACTGGCCAATGTACAGGACCCTGTTTCATTGGCACAAACAGGCAATGAACTTCTCCTCATACTAAATCACAAGAACTCAAGGAGAAGCAGTGGGAGCTAGGACTGAATGAAGAGGATGGGAAGGGATCTGGAGAAAGCAATACAAGAGTTAAGAAAGGGGACAGCACTTTTCATTTAGCAAAATGCATGAAGACCAAAAAACTGAATCTCAACTAGCTACTTACTTTAATTCTTTACTTTTATTCATATGGTGTGTTACATGAATAAATATCCATGCACTACATGAGGCCAAAAAAAAAAGATATCAGATCTTCTGAAACTGTGATAATATACGGTTACTAGTCATAGACATGTGAGGAAGAGACCTGGTCAGTCATCCTCATCAACGTAGACCATGAAACCCAATATGGACAAGTTCAACAGAGCCACCATATATGCTTTAGCATTGCCAGAACATAAATTTCAAAAAAATTCATTTCACTATATGGGTGCTAGAAATCAAACTCAGGTCGTCTTACATGGGGAACAAGTATTCTTAACCCCTGAATCATCACTTCAGCCCCTCACTTAAGTTTCCTTTTAAAATTATCTGGATTTCTTAAGTCTATTTAACTTCCTTATTGTACTACTGAAAATAAACGGTAGTCTGAAGACAGAGTTGAAAAAGAATCCAAATATACAGACAAATGATGAACTACCTGACAAGCTCTCTTCCGGAGAGCCACTTAACTATAGAGTATCACAATGGTCACCACCACACCTCACCTTCTGACTCCCAGGACTCCAATTATTTTCTGGCCCATGGCGTCTCCAAAATGGCAACACAATAAGGATAGTAATGAGAAGCCATTTTTTTGGCTTTTTGCACATGATGGACTTTAATCACAAAGTGCTGCTAACAACAAACACTAGCCTCTGCTATACCCAAAACTAGACTTTTCAGGCAAAAATTAAACGTATCGAGGGAAAAGAAGATCATAATAAACTTTTTCTTTTTAAATACTGGGATTTTAATTCCATCCCACGGAAATCTTTTTGTACTGCTTTTCAAGGGCATTTCCCTCACTGTCTACACTCTCAAGTTATGTTAAATAACTTTAGAATTAAAGGCAGAAGTTGGGGGAAAACCACCTCAAAACAACTCTGAAAGTGTCTCTTCACAAATGAGGAATATATACAAGAAGATATCAAACCTAATGGGAACATCATGAGAAGCTAGTTCTATATTTTCATGTGACTACTGATCTATCTGAAAGCTACCAAAGTTATTAAAAGAAACTTTAACATCATTTAACATTACTGGAAGCAACTTGATTTTGGTAATCTTTTCGGAGTGCTATAAATTTTATAATTAAATTTTATGAAGTTATTTCACCTGAGTCTTTTATCACAATTAGTTTTATTACATGCTGGCCGCATGCATGCAACTTTGGTAGGTTTTTAAAGAACATTAGTCTTGGTGACTCAGTCCACAGCGTGTATGCTGTATAAGCATGATGACCTTAAGTTTGGTCCTGTATAAAAAGCAGGGCATGCTGGCACTGTGTAATCCCGAAAACGGACAGTCTGAGACAGGTGAATCCCTAGGGCTGCCTGGCTGCCCAGTCAGCTTAGTTTAATCAGAGCCCCAGGTCCCAGTGAGAGAACCTCTCTCAAGAAACAAAGTGGACCGGCTTCTGAGAAATGATACCCAAAACTGACCTCCAACCTTCACACCCATGTGTGTGTGTGTGCATGCACACTCACAAACACCAATCTTACTACATGCTAGCATTGGTAGTCCCACAGGGAAGCTCAGACAGATGGCTTGATACCAGAACAGTGGCCAGCCTAAAAACCTTGGGAAGGCTTGTTTAATATTAAGACAAAACTAAAATCCCCTCAGTCTCTGTGGAATACAGTTTGAAAAGACTGTCTCCTATGTTCACTTTCCTCAAAGAAGGCAATACAAGGCAATAAATTTAATCTTTGAATATTGGAAAAGAATATAAATAAATTAAAGATGTTCCTTTCTGCTTATTATGTCATACTACCAATCACTTAAAATTATAAAATTTAATGTTTTCTGTCCCCGTAAGTTCTTTCTCCTCATAATGAGTGAATCAGCAGTAATGCCCATGTAATTCTAATAAATCAATCCAACAAATATCTGGATCAAAAACTAGACAATCACAGAAATGATGATAAAACAATTTATCAGTTACTGTCATAACTATTTATGAAATATTATTATATTTTTGGATTGTGAGCCTAGCCTTTAACAGCTGAGCTATCTCTCCAGCCCACTTATGAAATATTCTTAAGAGCTTCATACTGAAGACATAAGAGGTGCACTTACTTCCATTTTATGCATAAAGCCCCGACAAAATTAAAAATATGCTTAAGGCAGAATTCAAGCTCCATTGATCTGACTTAACTACATGTTACTTCTATATTGTATGGCATAGCTGACTTGTATTTATAAAGGATGCTTTAGAAAAATTAAGAATCTTCATCAGTAGAACAACACTCATCATACCTGCCCCATTTGCCTGCACACACAAACCAAAACAAACAAAAACAACAACAAGAGCAAACATAAACACCAATGCTTATACTCTGGACCTGAACAAAGGAAACACTCAAGTATGATGTTCACTACAGACTTACTGCATGCAAATGGAAATCTCTAGCACAACCAGATCTTTTTTCTTTTTGCCAGAAAAGCAGAATTTAGTTCATGTTGTTTATATGTGGCAGCCAGAGGTTGATGTTGGAATATGTTCCTCAACTGCTTTTCTACTTTATTTTTTTGAGATGGTGTCTCTCACTGAACCTGATGGCACTTTCGTCTAGACTGGCTGGCCAGTGAGACTCTATGATGCACATGCCTCTCTTCTCCAGTGCTAATGTCTACAAATGCCTTCTATGTGGGTACTAGGGATATGAACTTGAGTCCCCATACTTGATCAGTAAGCACATTACTTTCTGAGCCATATCCCCAATCTCTAAATTCACAATTACACATTTGTCTCTCCATGTCCATGGATTCAACAAACTATGAATGAAAATATTCAAGGGAGAAAAACAAAACTTTAACTCCTGTTGGCATATATTGTGATTAGGCCTCAAAAGATTGGTATAAGATCTTGAACATATACTACACATACACACTTTTGTTTTTATTATTCCAAAAGAGTACGTAAATTAACTCTCTACCTAACATCTATCTACTTTGTATTAGGTATTACAGAAATCTCAATAAGACATTAGGAAGACTATGCATATAAAATATGATGCATACTTTATGCAAAAATATAACAAACACACATACACATACTACAAGACACTCAAGCACCACAGATTTGGATATCCCTGGCACCAATCCTTTGTAGACACAGAGACACGGCTATATAATAAATAGCCAATAGGGTAGTCTTAATCCC